TCTGCGAAGCACGGGTAAACAATATTAATTAATTATAAACAATACTAAATAATAATTATAAATTAATGGTGAGTAAAACATATTAAAAAATAATTGAAAATTAAAGAAGTGGAGTTAACATGTGATATAAATTAATATAAAATTATCTTGTCTAATATAACATAAAACATATATGTTTGAAATATTAAGATCTAAAATATCATATAACATATATAAGATTATCTAAAATATTATATATTACATTTAAAATATTTGATATCTAAAACGTGTGAATTGGTGTTTTTGAATTTGGAAATTTATGCAATTGGATAGACACCAAATTTGAAGTCGATATTTTGAAATATTAAATCGAACAAAATCCTTAATTTAAGGAATGGTTGGAAAATCCGTCCAAAATTTTGGAAAAATATTCACAACCGCAATTTTTTAATATGAATTGAGCAATACTCAATTTTGATGGGAGCATTAAATGTTGCCTGATTTTGTTGTTAACAGAAAATACAAAATAAAAAAATACCGAAATAGCATGCATTTAATTTTGTCTGAAACTTTTCTGTTAGACGTAAATAATTATTCTCTCTCTCTCTCTCTCTCTCTCTCTCTCTCTCTCTCATGGGGGTAAGAACAAATTTCATCTCTAAATAAAAGTTCACTTTCCAAAATTTTGGTTATATGTACTTCTCCCGAGACGCTAAATTATTTTTTTAAATTATCACACATTACATTAAAGTACGTAGTGACGTAGTTGAATTATTGGTCCACCTAGATCTCCGGTTGAACTACCTCGCTCCGAATGACTTGAACGACAAACCAGTCCAACCTATAAAATGTACGTGCATCGGTGGCCGTTTAAATTAAGTAACATAAATTAATTAATTTGTTCAACATATCATTGTAGAATCAAAATAAAATATAATAAATGAGCTTTTAATGTATTTGTTTTTCAAAAATAATAAAATGATGTTATAATATAAATAGAATGAAATAACTTATTATAACAACACCGACAAAATAATATAAAAAAATGAGTCCCTAATAAAAAAACAAAAAAAAACTAAAAACTAAAGAATGACATATTGTATATTATAGATACATTAGTTCTTTTATTATTTATTTATGTTTGATTATTCAAGAGTAATTTTTTTCCATTTGGGTTTGATATTCTCATAAAAAACATTAATACACATTGGAGCCAATACATTAACAATATTGCAAAATTCTTAATTCATTTACAAAATGTGTGCTTTATTCAAACACTTAAAAATATTCTATAAAAACATATAGTCAACTTCATGACGGTATGATCTCGTGACATAATCAACCGTGTCATTGAAGTTATTGATAGCTTTTTTTTCATCGTTGTATAAACTACAATATTATTCTCATCACATAGACAAATTGGTACCTACCCCATGGAAGCATCGCCCCATGAGGTGGGAACAAATTTCATCTTTTGACTTTCTAAAATCATGACGCATTACATTAGAGTACGTAATGATGTAGTTGAATTATTGGTCCTCCAAAATCTCCA